AAACCTCAAAGTCACATGTAGGCTTGCCGGGTAACTCCTCGAGCTTGTTCTTACATGCCCAGTAGCGGCGTGCACCTTCTGGATACCATTTGAACAAACTGCATTTTTCTCCGCAGTAGCACCTTGGGACATAAACGTTTTGTGCAGACATTTCTTATAGAGAAACTTTGGTTATTGTTAAGCGAAGAATATAAGTACCATGCAACCGTTATTTATAGTCAAGATTTCAAGCAAAAACGTAGTATAATACTGCGAATAACATAGTAAATTTCAATGACTTAAAACAGAGTTTCCACGTGCTTCTCAGCTTTTTCAGCAGGACATGTCAAATCCACAAAACGCAGTATTATACTACGAATAACATATTAAATGACCCTGACACGAAACAGGGTTTTCACATGCTTCTCAGCTTTTTCAAAATAAAGGACTAGGGGTATGCTTGATAGTTGGGTACATTGGACGAACTTGCACCAGGATTACCACCGCCACGCCCACCACCTGAAGGACACTTACGACGGTCATGTCCAGTTTGAGAGCATATGCCACATTTACGCGCATAAACGGACTCACCAACATCCATTTGGTTCCGTATACGCGTTCTCTTTTGCACTTTCAGCTTGCGCAAATAGTCCTTGTTACATACCAACATAAAAGGTTCCGGCGGCCAATAATGCTCAGCACCTAATGGATGCAACTTCCCACTATACGTGTCTACGTATGCTGCAACACTGTATTACCTATCAATGTAGTTTGTTGCCCCATATCCAACTTGTTGAAAGCACTTCAATGTATGTGGGCACGGTATGTGGTAGATGGTCCATTTCCCACATGAACATAACCTTCTATTTTCATTCACCGTCTGTAGATTATTCCCACGGTGTCCGTTGATAGCGGTCTTAACTTCAAAAACACCCCGTTCATGATCATACTGAAGAAATGAATGCCACTGTGCCCGCCTCCTGTACCTTTCAAATCTTGTCATGGGTATTGGCATAAATTCAACACCCCTGTCCATCAATGACGATGCAGCTGCATGCCTTTCAACAAACCTCTCTGCACTCTGTTTGAAAGTCATGCGGACCATGGCAGTGACAGGCAGTCCACGGGCAGACTTCAACAAGCCGTTGAATGACTCTGACACGTTTGTAGTGAGGGCTCCCCATCGTCTGCCGCCATCAGCATGCAATGTCCACATTTGAGGGTCATGTTGCATCAACCAAGTATAGGCTCGTGGTTCTATCTGCCGGATCGCTTCCATGCGCCTCGTGAATTTACACTGCTGGTGCTCAGTTGCAGCCATCCACATTAAGTCATGCAACGCCTTGTCAGGAAATTTCTTCTAGAAATTGTCCTTAAGGTGCCTCACACAGTAACGGTGGTATGCATATGGTTCCTGCCATTCAGGCAAGTGACGTACAGAACTTAAAATACCACCATGCCGATCAGATATTAGACAAATACCTGAACGTTGTTTGACAACGTGCTGCTTCAAGTGGTTCAAGAACTGCGTCCACGTCTCTTCACTTTCGTTGGCACAAATGGCAAAAGTTAGTGGAAATATTTGTCCGTTGGCATCTACTGCAACTGCAATCAAAAGCTTAATATCATACTTTCCATTGACATGAGTACCGTCTATGGAAATTACAGGACGGCAATGCACAAAACCATCAATTGCTGGTTTAAAACTGACCAAAATACATAGTTGAAATATATATTCCGGTCTGTCCGGACTTCGCTCACGCCTCCATTCAACAACAGTCCCGGGTAAAAGTGTTGCAGTGCAGCCATATACCTGGGCAGATTTGAAAAAACGACTTATCCCTAGTCGCCATAAACTAAGTTCAAAGGCACGTTTGCGACCGAGACTATAGCTTTTCTTTGGTTTATGTAACNGAACCTAATGGACACTTCCAAAAATGGAATCAAGACAAGGGAAATCAAGTCCACATCCAAGTTGAAGTGATTCTCATTGAATGTGTCCATTTCACATCTGTGCTCGCTAACAAATTTACCCACTTTCCACAAACCTGATTTCTTCTTTGTGGCACGCAGCATCCAGTGACAACCCATAAACCACCTACGGCATACAGCCTTGTATTTCTCCGTAGTTGACTCACTTACCGTCATCTCACGACACTCTCTTATACTGTAGATTTTTACAGCCCTAATTAGGCGAGCTTTATCGGGGAAATACATGCCCTTTGTAAGAACAGCTGGTCTAGATTCATCCCACATCACTGACCGTAATTTATCATCATCCCTTGTGAGGGCATCGATGTTAGGCATGCTTGGAAAATTATCAAGGTAGGGAATATTTCGCTCATGAAATGGCACGTGGGACTCATACACTCTTGGTCTAGCGGGAGGTGGAGGAACATGCTCCCTGGTCAGCTCAGGTTCAACATTCACTTCCTCCTCCTCATCATCCCCCTCATCATGGAAGGGTGTGTCATCCCCAGACTCATCCGCATTGTTGTCATAATCACTATCATCCTCCTGACTCTGCGCATCTGCCAAATCACGAGTAAAAACGTTGTCTATGGGCAACTGTGTGAGGCCAGGAGCTTCAAGAAGCTCGTTTTCACTGCACAAAAAGAACAAATACATAAGTTACCCAATACTCAGGAAAAATACTTTAGATATCGCTATATCACTTTACTTACAAATCGTATTGTCTTGACGTTTCATGATGGATATTTTCATGTTGGTGATAACTACCAGATGGACCACCGTGGTCCATTACTCCAGACCTGCCCATATTCCAACTAGGGGCGGGGTCATAACTTGTAAAATTCAAATCCGGACGATACCCCCTATAAAAAATATGAGTGTTAATACAAATCCAATTAAAACATGAAAAAAAAATCGCTAAAACGTAGTAAAATTGAAGTTTACCAGTCGTCTTGTTGATTATATAAAGTGGAAACATTATTTTGTGGCTGCTCATTCGCCTGTGGTGACAAGTTTAAATCAAGGCAAGCTCTTTCTTCTGCAATCTGTCCGGCAAAAGCTGCTCCAGAATAACCACCCGATGACTGGGGGTTATCCCTGCTATGCACACCCTCATTACTAGGAATGTCCTCCACCTTCACGTACATTTTCAATAATTTTATTACAATAAATTCCCTGTATTCGTCCGGAATCCGCAAAAAATCTCTAAGAGTTTCATCATCCTCGATGTTAAAGTCAGAATAATAAGCAAACCCCTGCGGAGTCACTGGATAAGGAAATCTACCAGTTACTTTAAGGCTAACCGAACGCCTCCGCTCACTCTTTTTTTTACGTAACAACGATACCAATGTATCGTACTCCATATTAAGCGGAAATTTAACATGACACTGTGGAGGTGAGCTATACCTCACAGAGTTATTCTCCACCACAACCTCACACCCCCCCCCCCCCCAATACAGTGAAACCCTTATTTTTGGCACTTCAGACATTGTAAAAAATTGATTGATAAGGAGAAGAGAGAATAATGAACGTATGTTTGAAGTTTAAGTGTTGAATGAATTTTTATAAAATTGAAACGTCTATAAATAAGGCAAGTCCGAGCTTGGGGTGTACAATTTTTCAAAGTAATTCGCAGTATTATACTGCGTTTTACGTATTTGAATTATTGTTATGTCAATTAATTATTGGTGGGGCCCGTCTCAAGCGATTCGCATTATTATACTGCGAATTGCATAAAAAAAATAATTTTTTTAATATTTCGCAGTATCATACTGCGAATTGTTTTAACGGCAAAAATTCCGTTAACCCTATTCGCAATATAAAACTGCTAAGTACTCATTAATGTAACTTTTTTTTTAAAACATTAAAAAAGTGCTTTTTGTACAAAAAATCATTAATTAAGTTTCGGACTCGGTTTAATGACTTCAACCTAGTGAGGTTCGTATTCCGTAATTTTATAATTTAACCATTGCGCTACATCATTCCTAATTCAGCATATTATATAAAAAAATTATTTTACAATATACTGTAAATCACAAACTTCGTGTATTATATAATCTATTTTTTATTTATAAGTGAAGTATAACTCCATTAATTTGAGGTATTGTCGCAAAGAGATAACATATCTTCGCAAATGCTAATTTATCAATTTTCTTAGTTTGTGTTTATGGTACTACTGTGTTCAATGTACAAAGTTGTTAGTGTTACTATTATATTTGTGTTAATCTTGGACTTTGGTGGATTAGTACCACTGTATTTTATTTTCTGCACTATATAATTTATTGTACCTCACTTATATCCAGCACATATATGACTTCTTTTTCTTTTTTAAGTATTGAAGTTGACATTTTTCCCCACGTAGGGTATAAAAGGAAATTATTATGGGATATGAAGGGCCAATTGGAATAATGTGCCTCCACCAGATGAAGACAATAAGACATGAATTAACATTATTGTGCTCTACTGGATGACATGAATTCTGTAATATGGTGGGCTATCTAGATTAAACACTCAAAATTAATTAATGGTCCTACACTTTTTTGCTAAAGACAAAGACAAATAATGATTTTAACATTATGTTAAACCTTCTCCCTATACTGTTATTAATAAATAATGCTCTCAAAACCTAGTAACTATTGTAATGATAATTTATCCCTTAAATACCATTGTCTTCTCTTGGCATGGTTAGAATAACATATTTATAATTATTGTTCAATCAAGAATCGACTTTTTCCCCCCTTTGTACCTGCCAATGCCTAAGATCCTATCACCCAATAAAAAAATGCCAAAATAAATACAGCATTATGTAATCAGAGGCAGATGCAATCTTGTAGCAGATTTATTTGAATCCAATAAATAAATTATGTTTGACTTAAGTACATAGATTTTTGGTTTTATTAATTTTAGTTCAAATTTATTTCCTTATGGTTTATATCTGTATACAACATTAGTCTTTCTTCACATACATATGAAAAGAAAGTCATTGTATTGATTCATCAACTTGTTTTACGTACACTCACCATATATTTATGTGAAGTGGTTCAGATTACAAGGATCAAAATACCTACAGTACTTTTCTGTAATGACCCAACCGAGCGTTTTACTTTTTAGAATCCCGTTCCTCTAAATAAGACTTTCCGATCCGTACGTACTTTTACTGTTTTATGACTTGCGGGGATGGTTAGTTCGGGATTTGGAAGGGTTCGGGTTGAAATCAGAACACTTGGTTGCTTAAGGTTGGCTTAAAAGGCTAAGTTTGACTTCAGTCAACATTTTGAGTAAACAACCTCGGAATCGTGATTTGACGGTTCCAATAGGTTTGTATGATGATTTCGGACTTGGGCGTATGTTCTGATCGGGTTTTGGACGAACCGGGAGCATTTCGGCGCCTAATAGTGAAAGTTGGCATTTTGAGTGAATTTCATAAATTTGGGTTGAAGTGAATTCTGACATTCTAGACTCCGTTTGGGATTCCGAGCCTGGGAATAGCTCCGTATGATAATTCTGGACTTAGGAGCGCGTCCAGAAGTGGATTTGGAGGTCCGTAGGTCGTTTCGGAGTCATTTGGCGAAAGTTAGAATTAGAAATTTTTGGAAAGTTTGACCGATGGTGGACTTTTTGATATCGGGTTCGGATTCCGGTTCCGGAAGTTGGAGTAGGTCTGTAATGTCATTTAAGACTTGCATGCGAAATTTGGCGTCATTCCGAGTTGATTTGATAGGAATCGAACGGGCAGAAGTGTTTTTAGAAGTTTTTGAGTTCATGAGTTAATCCATGCGTTTTGGCGTCTGATTCGTGGTTTTTGATGTTATTTCAGTATTTCGATTGCGCAAGCAAGTTTGTATGATGTTGTTAGACTTTTGTGGGTGGTTGGTGTGGAGCCCTGAGGGCTCGGGTGAGTTTCGGACGTTCGGAAGGATGAAAAACACTTTAGTTTTTGGGGTGTTTCTTGGCAGCAATTGCAGGCCTTCGCAATTGCAAAGAAGCTCGACCTGGGCAGTGTTCGCATTTGCAAAATATTGGTCGCATTTGCGATCTCATTAGAGTCCGCATTTGCGACTCATTGGTTGCATTTGCGACCTTGGCAGCCTAAGCCCAGGTTCGCATTTGGGATGGCTTTGTCACATTTGCGAACCAGGTGTGACAAATGCGACATCTGAGACCTGTGCACAGCTTATTAATTGCGAGACTTAGACCATTTAGCTCATTTCCTCTCATCTCCAGGGTGATTATTGGAGATTTTGGAAGATGATTTTCACCTAGCACTTTGAGGTAAGTAATTTCTATACAACATGAGTTAAATACATAGAATATGGGTAGACTAACATGTAATTGGTGAAAATCAAGGGTTTAGATGGAAACCTAGGTTTTTAATAAAAATGAGATTTGACCATGAAATTGGTTATGGAATTTAGTAAAAATCATATATTTGAGTTCATAGGGTAATGGGTAACAACTTTCTTCAAAAATTTCCGGAATCCAGGCACGTGGGCCTAGGGGTGAACTTCGGGGATTCTTCAAATAGGCTTGGGAAATCACCTTGATAGTTAGAATATGAACTATTGAGCATGTATTGATTATTTTATATTATATTTGACTAGTTCCGAGTCATTTGGCACCAAATTTGGGGGGTTGAGCACAATCTTGGACCGAAAAATAGACATTGAGACGATATAAGTCTCATTTCTAACCTTGTTAGAGGGAATTAACCCCATAGGTGAATTAAATAAATATGTGTACCTATTTGTGGGGGCTACGTACGTACGAGGTGACGAGAGTCCGTACGTAGCTACTAATTATACTATTGTCTGAGTAGTCTAGGACAAATACCATGCTATACCTGAAATGTTTGCACCCTTACTTGTTGATTTATCGCTTAAGTCATATTGGAAGTAGACAAAAGAATTGTAAAAGTTAAAATTTCACTTACTTGAAGTTGCGAATGGAACCCTTGACTATAAATGAGAATTTGTGTTTCATTTGAAATGTTTTCTATTTGTGAAGCGGGCCGAACGCCTCGGTAGCAGATTGATGCATCTATCGTTCGAGCCGTTCGACCCTCGGCAGTGCATGGTTTAAATATTTGGATCAGGCCGTACGACCTCGGCATAATTTGCGCATGATGAATCTTTGGAACTATTCATAATTGATATTGCTTAAATGTCTTGAGATACAAATTGTTAAATGATGAAACTAAACTTGAGATTTAATATTTGCGAAAGAAGAATTTATTATTTCCTGTTATTGAGATTTCAGTATTATTCATGAAATCCACGCTAAGTATAATATTTTGTTATATCATTGTTATCCCATAGTAAGTGTCAAAGTCGACCCCTCGTCACTACTTCTTCGAGGTTAGACTGGATACTTACTTGATACATATTGTTTGTGTACTCACGCTACACTTCTGCACTTAATTATGCAGAATCTGAGGTAGGTACATCTGGTTACCAGTCCGGCGCGCGTACTTTGATCCCCGCCACGAGACTACGCGGTGAGCTGCCCTTCCGTGTCGTTCTGTAGGAGCCGGAGTCTTTCTTTTGTTTATTTGTTCTGTCTATTCCATTTCGGACAGTAGATTAAAAATCTTTTGTATATTCTACTAGTAGCCCATATACTTGTGACACCGGGTCTTGGCACACACTAGTAGACTTATGATTTTGAGTTGTATTTCTACGGTTATGATTTCATTTAGCTGCTTTCGTTTTGATTACTTTAAAATCCGTTATTCGTTAAATTCTTTAAATTAAGGAAAGCCAGTTGTTTGAAAAACTTATTAAAAATGGAAATCACTAGATTGTTCACTATTGGCTTGTCTAGCAACGATGCTGGGCGCCATCACGGCTTAAACTAGAATTGGGTCGTGACAACATTGTATCAGAGCACTAGGTTCACGTAGGTCTCACAAGTTATAGGCAGACCTAGTAGAGTCTTGCGGATCGGTGCGGAGACGTCCGTACTTATCTTCGAGAGGCTATAGGGTGTTAAGAAACTACTCTTTATTCATCTCCTATCGTGCAATGATGGCGTACTAAGTTTCTTCTCTCATTCTCTCACAGATGGTGAGAACGCACACGTCAGACATTCCGGATCCGCGAGGAGCTACTCCCCCTGTTGCTAGAGGTCGGGGGAGGGTACCAGCCTGAGGTAGGGGATGAGGACGGCCCAAAGTTTTCCCAGTTGCACCACCAGCGGATCCAATGGAGGCGAGGTGCCCGCAGCAGAGCCAGCCCCGGTACATTTCATGTTAGCACCGGGCTTTCAGGAGGTCATCGACCATATGCTGCGGTTCATGGATACTATGACTCAGGCTGGTTTATTTCCAGCCGACCCTGCCCCATCTCAGGCGGGAGGGCGAGCACAGACCCCTAATGCCCAGGCTCCGGGGCTTGTAGCTACCGTATATCAGACCCCGTGGGCGGAGCCTAGCCAGTTGCAGCAGCTGCACCTGAGCCTAGACCAGTCGCGGCCGGCGAGCCGCAGAAGCTATTGGACAGATGGACTAGGCTACACCCTTCTGTCTTCGGAGGTGAACGACATGAGGATCTCCAGGACTTCATTGGTAGGTGCAGGGACAGACTACACAACATGAGGATATTGGAGTCCCATGGGGTAGATTTCACTACTTTCTAGATGGAGGGCAGGGCCCGTAGGTGGTGGCAGTCTTATCTTCTCGGCAGGCCAATGGGTTCTCCTCCCATGACTTGGGACCAGTTCACATGCCTATTCTTGGACAGGTATATTCCACCCTCTCAGAGGAGAAGTTGCGGTTTCAGTTTGAGCAGCTCTAGCAGGGTCAGATGTCTGTGACCGATTATGAGGCGAGATTCTCTTTGTCTCGCCATGCACTTATGATACTTCCTACTGACGCAGAGAGAGTGCAGAGGTTTTTTGTGGGGTTGCACTCAAGTATTCACGCTACTATGGCCCGAGAGGTCGAGATGGGGACTTCTTATCAGCTAGTAGTGGAGATAGGTCGGAGGATTGATGGTTATCGTTTGAGAGGTAGAGTGTAGATGTAGAGGGACAAGAGGGTCCGTTATTCTGGGGAGTTTAGAGGTGCCCCGGCTGGGGGCCGAGGTCAGTTTGGGAGGGGTAAGCCTAGCAGGCCCACATATCCAGCACCACCACCTCCTCGGAGTGCTCCGGTGCGACCCTATTTCAGAGCCATGCCAGAGAGTTCTTACCGCCCACCAGTCATTCAGGGTTCTTCCAGCTCCTATTTCAGCGCCATGCCAGAGAGTTCATACCGCCCACTAGCTATTCAGGGTTCTTCCAGTAGGTCTTCAGGCCATCAGGGTCAGACATCAGTGTAGCAAATCACCGCACCGAGAGGTTGTTTCGAGTGCGGAGATCTTAGTCACGTGCGGAGATTCTGCCCCAAGCTTCGGGGCAAGGCAGTGCAAGAGGGCCAGCAACCCATGATTATAGCACCAGCTGTCCGGCCGCCCAGAGGCGGAGGGCAGGCGGGTAGGGTCCGTCCTAGAGGTGGAGGCCAGGTAGGGGGAGTTCAGCCAACTACTGTTCAGTCGGGTGGAGGCCAGCTAGCCGGCTGTCCAGCCAGGTTCTATGCCTTTCCGGCCAGAACAGATGCAGTGGCCTCAGATGCCGTGATCACAGGTATTATTTCTGTCTGCAGTAGGGATGCTTCGGTTTTATTTGATCCAGGGTCTACCTATTCATACGTGTCACCTCTGTTTGCTTATTTCCTGGATATTCCTTATGATTCCTTGGGTATTTAAGTTTATGTGTCCACTCCGTGGGCGATTCTGTTGTTATGGATCGGATCTACCGGTCCTGTGTGGTCACATTCTGTGGTTACGCGACTAGATCAGACCTTTTATTGCTTGATATGACCGACTTTGAGGTCATCGTGGGCATGGACTGGTTATCCCCATATTACGCCATCCTTGATTGTCATGCCAAGACTGTTACCTTAGCGATGCCAGAGTTGCCTAGATTGGAGTGAAAGGGTTCGTCTGTTAGTACATCTAGTCGGGTTATCTCTTTTATGAAGGCTCGACATATGGTTGAGAAGAGTTGTTTGGCCTATCTAGCTTATGTTTGGGATATCATCGCAGAGTCTCCGACGATTGATTCAGTGCCAGTAGTCCGGGAGTTCGCCGATGTGTTTCCTTCTGACCTTCCAGGCATGCCACCAGATCGTGATATCGATTTCTGTATTGACTTAGCTCCAGGTACCCACCGTATATCCATCCCACCGTACCGTATGGCTCCGAAAGAGTTAAAGGAGTTTAAGGAGCAGCTTGAGGAGTTGCTACTAAAGGGGTTCGTCAGACCAAGTGTATCACCTTGGGGTGCACCAGCGTTATTTGTGAAGAAGAAAGATGGGACTATGCGGATGTGCATTGATTACCGCCAGTTGAACAAGGTCACCATCAAGAACAAGTACCCGTTGTCGCGTATTGATGATTTGTTTGACCAGTTGCAGGGTTCTAGAGTGTTCTCTAAGATTGACTTGAGATCAGGGTACCATCAGTTGAATATTCGGGACTCGGATGTTCCAAAGACTGCTTTTCGTACTAGATATGGCCATTATGAGTTTCTAGTGATGTCCTTCGGCTTGACTAAAGCCCTAGCGACATTTATGGATTTGATGAATAGGGTGTTCACGTCTTATATTGATTCGTTTGTCATTGTCTTCATTGATGACATCTTGATCTACTCTCGTAGTATGGAGGAGCACGAGCAGCATTTGAGAGTTGTGCTTCAGACTTTGCGGGAACAGAAGCTATATGCTAAGTTCTCCAAGTGTGAGTTTTGGTTAGGTTATGTGATATTCTTGGGGCATGTTGTATCAGGCGAAGGTATTAAGGTGGATCCCAAGAAGATTGAGGCAGTTCAGAGTTGGCCTCGTCCCACTTTGGCGATTGAGATCGGGAGCTTCCTGGGGTTAGCAGGTTATTATCGCCGGTTTGTGGAGGGCTTTTCATCCATTACAGCACATTTGACTAGATTGACCAAGAAGGGTGCTCCGCTCCATTGGTCCGATGATTGTGAGGCGAGCTTTCAGAATCTTAAGACATCTTTGACTACAACACCGGTTCTAGTGTTGCCTTCAGGTTCGGGGATGTATACGGTTTATTTCGACACTTCACGCGTTGGTTTGGGTTATGTACTGATGCAGGAGGGGCGAGTTATTGCATATTCTTCACATCAGCTGAAGATTCATGAGAACTATTACCCTGTGGACGATCTAGAGTTAGCCGCGCTTGTTCATGCTCTTAAGATCTTGAAGCATTATATTTATGGGGTGTCCTGTGAGGTTTACACTGATCATCGCAGCTTGCAGCATTTGTTCAAGCAAAGGGATCTCAATTTGAGGCAGCGTAGATGGCTTGAGTTACTGAAGGATTATGACATCACCATTCTTTATCATCCGGTCAAGGCGAATGTAGTCGCGGATGCCTTGAGCTAATGTTGTATGGTGGTCCGGGCCCGAGCCTAAATGGGCTAAACGGGCCGGGATAAACGGGCCCCGGGCTCTGGCGGTCCCGGGCTTCGTGGGCTCAAAGGGTGGAACCAGCCCATGACGGGCCTAAGCCCATATGGTCCTGGGCTAAATGGGTCGGGCTCGTGGGCTTAGCGGGCCTAACGGGCTTTTTTATTTTCGGGATTTTTTTAATAATTTTTTTTGTTTAAGGCAATTTCTTGTAAACCATATATGTATGTATATATATAAATTGCTCTTATACATGGCTATATAAATATATGTAGTATATATAATATAGAAATCTAATTATTAAAGCGCTTGACGAAAAAGTAAAATAACAAAACAATAGTAAAACTAAATTGGCATGCATAATAAATTAATAACAAAGTACAACATGAAGCATAAATACGTCTAATAATTTTAAAATAACACCAAATGGTTGAAAAATCTTAAAGACGAATTTGCGGATAAATACCCTCAACATAATACTTTATATGCCTCCTTAAAATGCCTGTGGTACACCCTGAACGAAAATTTAAGACTCTTCCACAGTTCTTGCACTTTAATATTTGGCCTTCTTCATTTCTTCAAGCACTTCATAGTATTGCGAAACAAATAAGCGCACTCTTTCCGAACGAGGCATGATTTAACTTGAAAATTGAGATTGAGACTTGAAGTCTTGAAAATTGGAGATTGAGAGATTGAGAGAAATTTAGATTGAGAAATGAGTATTGAGTATTGAAATGAAGAAGAGGGAGGGGGGTATTTATAGTAGTCGGACAAGGTTTAGGAACCTTTCTTTCTCTAAGGCCATATTCATCACATTTTTTTAAAATACTCTCTAAGTCTACTTCTACGTTTGAATAAAAAAGCCAATTAAGAGCCATTCTAACCTTTTCAATTTCTAAATTTAAAATTCGCATACCATCACCGACAATTAAATGATAAATATGACAAATACATCTCACATGGAATATATTACTAAATGCAGGATTTAGTGTTGTTGTAAGTATGCCTATAGCACTAGTGTTACTAGAAGCATTATCCATAGAAATTGCCATTATTTTATCTCTAATGCAGAAATATCTACAAATATCTGCAACAGTGTTAGCAATAAACTTACCTGTGTGACGTGAATTAATTATTCTATATGCAATAATGTGTTTTTGCATTATCCACTCCTCATCTATCCAATGACTTGTAACAGTTAGATAATCACAGTCATTATTACTTCTACCAATATCAGTAGTAATAGAAATCCAATTAGTTATATGAGTAAATAAATACTGCAAATATTGTTCATATTCATGTTTATATTTATAAATATCGCTCTTAACTGTTGCGCGAGGCCAACCTTTATAAGTAGGATTAAAAACTTTTCTAATATAATGTACAAAATTAGGATTAGAAGGAAAAGTATAGGGTAAGCACATAACGGTAACCATCTTTGCTAATTCTTCACGATCTTTATTTGGATCGTAATATAAAATACCTCCGGTCACGGTGTTAATTCCTGGTTGAACTAGATTTGACCATGTACTAGGGTTAACCGCAGTATCTACACTTGTCCCCTCTAGCTGCGCTTTCATTCGTAAATATCTAACTTTATCTCTAGGGTGTGTTTGTATGTGCCTAGCCAAACTACCCGTGCCGCTACGGTCTCCAGTATATTTATGCGCCAGCAATTTCCCA